AAAACCTTCCACGACTCACCTTTGCCACACTGCTGGAAATACCGTATGCGGAAACCTATAAAAAAGTGCTTTTGGATTCAAAAAAACTATGTCGGCAAAAAATGCCGCCTGCTCTTTGAGGAAATGCCCACTGTGGCTCGAGGTCTTCTAATCGGCCCGAGGGTTTATTTATCTATTAATCATCGATTTTCTATTGAAAAGGTACTGGTAAATCGAATATATTGAGTAAGTTGGCGAAAAAGTTGGGTATTGTGATGGTGGGACCTCCGTTGGCAGCTGGTGAATTAAATCGTTCACTTGTTGGAGAAAGTGAACGAATATTGATTGCTTTATGTTCACCTTGTAATCATGTACCATCATGTTATCAAAATCACCCAGACGTTATCAAAATTCGAGTGAAGGCAAAGTAGATAAGATCTCTGTCATGTTGTCAATGATTGAAGGCATTAAAGACACAGTCTAACGATCTTCAGTGCTACAAATCAATTATATATGATGGATGAAGCATTTTTGGGTCGTCTATCAGGTAAATTTTTTGTTGGTCGACCATCATCGAATGCACGTATGACATTACTTCGTAAAATACCCTTTTGGATGGTCGAGCCAGAACTACTCGGTCGACTATCGATTGTGACGAAAAATTTTTGTGGAGCCGCTGTCACGTAAGTTTTTCTATTAAATCGGTTGTCGAATTACTTATGATGAATTTTATTCTTTGTTTTTAGAGCATTGAATCGAGACATCACTACTCATTGTATCGAAATGAAACTTACGAATCCGATTGGTGAAATTGAAGCATTGAAATTAGCCGATACTACAGCTCAAAATCATCAAATATTTATTGGCAGCGAAACATTATCTCGTCTTCTTCTACGTAATCTACTTACCAGTTCTCGTCCTCGTATTTATCAATTATCGAAAAAATATAAATATTCAGGACGTATGATTGTCGATTTACACAATAAATATATACGTACTGAAGTATTACAATCGACTATAAATACTGAAGAATTATCCATTCTCGAATACGCATTAGAACCAAATGAAACAAATGTTCAAACTTTACTCGAACGTTTAACTGCCTGTGAAAAAAGTCGTAATGCTCAATTACCTCAATTAATCGATCTTAATTTACTTGCTTCAAAAAGTGCTCACGGCGAGAAACAAGTGTACGAAACATTAAAAGATCGTTATGATGAATGTGCTGCTTATACACGTTCGATGATTATCTACGATCTTGATGCATTAATTGGTATAACGAAATCGGAATGCGATTCGAATACGGGCTGTTCAATGTCCTATTCAATACACAATCAAGGTATTTATACATATGTATTGGCAAGATTTCGTGATCGTATTATGGTAGATATTCAAATGAAAAAACTGATAATGTCGAACGATGGACAATAGCTGTTATACGTGAACCATTTCTTGTACGTCAATTTTGTACCGACGTACAATTTCCACGTACATCTCGAGATCTCGAGAAGAAGAAGAGCTAAAATTCGAACGACAAAAGGCCGAAGATCTTATTAAATGTGTTAAATGTAAAGATTTCTATATTGAAAATGAAAATAGAATGGGTAGGTGTTTGTTTGTTTCTTTAATATTTAAAAAGCAAAAAATTTTTTATATTATTATCATTTTTCTAGGTAGTTGTGTTCATCATGATGGTTTTTTGTATGACAATTCCGAATCTGATTTAAAAATCTATACACCAAGTGAAACAGCTATATCTCTCGGTAAACTTGAACATCAAGCAATTAATAATGCGACTATGCATGTAGAATTCGAATGGAAAAAGAGAGCATTCAAATGGATATGTTACGATGATACATTTACAGTCGGACGTTCGAGTGGTTGTAAACGAGGCAAACATGGATTTTTTGTTCTGGACAACAATCAGTCAAATGAAAATATAACTAACAATAAGATGAATCGTATGACTCAGGCGACAGTTGAAGAGTGGGAAGAAGCTTGGCGTGACAATAAGGAATACGCCTAAAAGTGGGTCGAACTAACAGAGCAATATTGATTCGAGATTTTCTTCTTTCTTTTTTTCAATAAAATCTATTTCATACAAGGGCAATTTCAATATTTCAACGGCCATTCGATTTGATATGAAAAAGAAAGTCGAGTGCAATAGAACTTATACTTTGTTTGCGACTTGGCAATCGGAATTAAGAGCGTGAGCTTCATCTTGTGGATTAAATGTCTGAGTCAGGTGAAAATCGAGTTTTTAAATTCCATTACTTTTTGTTACATTGACGTATTCATACCAAAATCCAGCCACTGCTATCTCGTTCCAACTTGATAACTGTCGATTGAAAATAATAGAGCGAAACAAATCAATTATTTTGTCTTTTATCAAAATAATCATCACTTGTGCTCGACACAACATTCTTCTGTGTGGTCATCGTGGTAAACATGAAGTCTGATTAAAAGAAATTGATTTAAATCGTAACCAGCAAGTTAAAAAAGACTTTAATAATAATTTTCAAGACGCTATCAAAGTCTTTACATATAAAATCACAGAACATAGAAATCGTTATATATTCGCTGTTTATCACATGTTATTTATGGAAATATTATTGTCAAGAAAATTATATATATCGCTTATTATGTCAGAAAGTGGGTTGTTCACAGTTTTCCCTCCCATTTTTTCCACCAGTTTCTAGAGGATACTTCGGAGTATATGTTTCAACAATGTTTTCGGTATCCGGATTTGTAGTTTTTGATAAAAAAATGTTGAAGTTTTTTTCCGGTTTTCTGCCCTATTTTTAAAATTTCAATAAAAACTTCAATTTTTGATATGAAGACTTGATTCTAGCGTAGTTCGAAAGAGAACATTAACTTGTATAAGAAGAAACACTTTTCATCGTTCCCGAATGAAATTTGACACAGAAATTTAATGTTCACCTTCCCGAGGAAGTTTTAGAGCTAAAAGTATTTTTCACCTCACCTTACGGCTAGTTTGCTTCGAGGCAAGCATTTTGAAGCAAAATTCTGGATACAAAAGTTGTACAGAATCGAATCCTGCAGTCCATAACGAGAGGCCTTTTTAAAATTGCCCTTTTTTTTGGTTTTTAAATTGAAAAATACGAAATTTTAAAACTTTAAAAACCGTAAAATTTAATATAAAAATCAAAAATGGACAATTTTAAAAAGGCCTCTCGTTAGGAACTGTTATTCTAGAATTTAACAATAAATGCATTATATGTCAATCGACGAATTCTTAAACCAGTAAATTGAATTAGAATCAAACAGCATTTTAAAAAAGGTCGTTGAAAGACATTCTAACTTAGCCTATATATCTTACTAGCAAGATAGGTGGACACTACGTATCCGAAGGATAAGTATTGTGCAGAAGTATTATACGCAATTACCTCTTACTTTATCAAATCATATGGCCTGTTTACACAAAAACATGTCAATTGTCGTACCTAGCATAAATCATAAGATAGTTTCAGTAGTACTGCAAATAATTCAAATGATTCACAATCATCATTTAACGAACATAATACTCGCTCTACAGAATTAATAAAATAAATCAAAGATTCATAGCTGCTAATGATAACTCTCTATAATTATCGGGAAATAGGTGTCAAGAATGTATTAACATAAGTTCAACATTTGAACAAAATTTGTGCAATGTTTCAAAAGAATCCAAGGAATCAAATATGATAGACTTTTTTTCGGTGTTAAATAGAATATGTCGAAAATTGAAACTGGTAGTATGTATTCTAGTTATCGAAACTATGACAATAAATTCTGTTCAATTTTATTGACGTTTTATTTATTTTTCCTTATTATTAGAAAAAAACTGATTTGAATATTTCTACTTCTAATCTTAATTCGTATCTTACATTGTATCCTTAAAAGGAAACTGTTTTTCAAGTTTATACTTTGAGCAAATGATTTTTGTCTCAGTTATTATTAGAAGTCAATGAGAGACAAACAGTTGTGACAGAATGCGAGGATAGTGCTCACAGCAGAGCCCTGCGGGACAAACTTTTCTGTTCCCCCGAGCCCCACCATAAACATGTTTGTCTAGTCCTGTAAGTCTGAGTCCGTGAGTAAATAAAGTCGTCCCGAACCCGTCTGTCCTGTGAGAAACGTTTACAGGCTTTTTTGTCCTGTTCGGAACGATTCGGTTTATGAACCATCTTTGGTTTGATAGTATTACAAGAATTAAGCATTTGAAATTGCAGCATAATTACAATCAAAAGACGAAACTGACGGGACAACATCTTTCTGCGACTTGTCCCGACTCCGTAAGCCCGAGCTCATGAAACTTTTTCTTGTCCCGAGCCCGCACAGTTATTTTTTGTCCCGAACCTGGCTGTCCCACAGGATGGGCCAGATGAGTCGGGATTCGGAACTGTCCCGTAGGACTCTACTTCATAGTGCATTTTTTTCTTTCATTCGACTCCATGCATTTCTTGTCACATATATATTGTGTTTTTTATATCAATTAATGAATGAAAAAAAACAAAAAGATAAATTTTGTTACCTTATCACATGCACAGAATAACCCTTTCTCACTTCTCCATGCGCACATTTATGTGTGTTTAACGGAAACAGAATTTACTTTCAATAGGAAAGATTTATTATGAATTTTCCAAGATCAACAAGCAAAAAATTGAAAAAAATAGCAGTCTTTTATTTCAACTCTAACGGTTGAATTTAGGCAGTTTCGGCTTACGTGTTCGGGTTGATCTTTATTGATCAAATCAATAAATTAGCCATACAGTCGCATTTTACTTAATACTAACTCTTCATAAACAGATAAATACATGAGTTAAGTTTCATCCAAGTTTTAAGTGAAACGTTTTCTTCCTAAATTTTGAAAAATTTCGATATACAATTTTGAAAACGTAGATTTTCAAAGAAAGTTTTTTAACTGGTAGCTCAATACTTACACTTTTGTATGTCTCAAAAGTAAGGTATGCAATTATTTAGCGAGAGTTGACATTAAAATAAAAATGCGACTGTACGGCTAATTTATCGACGTGAAAAGAGATATTTTAGAACTATGACGAGGTAAGGCTAAACAAGCTTGGAACATCGTGTCAAACACGAAATAATCTTGCGCGTTACTTGTGAAACGTCTCAGAAATTTTCTCCACGCGATCTCGGGTCGAAAATGTAAAAACACGCGTGTTTATCAGACGAAACGCAGAATTTTTTGAAACTTTTTTCAGTGAGTGAAGATACGAGTATTATACTTATTAGGGTTCAACAGTACAATGACTGCGTTTATCACTCGCAAACCATGGCACCAGCAAACGAGAAAAGTTATCGCAACAGGTGACCATATTCCAGAATTCGACCTTTTTTTAAGGAACACAGTAGATAGCCTGATTGAAACTAAATTTATTCAAGAAAAACACCTAATATTAGCTTCGCCTAAAGCGGACAAGGCCAGAATGGTTTTGCAGAGATATTATCTTGACTTAACCGAAAATACAAAAAATGAATAAGCAAGAAGAAATCATAGCGGATGATAAAAAATATGACAAAAGGTAGCCTGAAGATTATAAAGTATATGTGCTTTAAAATCTCTTGATGTCGATTATGTAGTCCATGATAGTTTATAGAGTTATTTATGTCTATCATCATCAGCTGTGTTCCTAAGTAGTATTGTTTCGAGACTGATTAGCAAGTTCAATCTTTCTAATAGTTTATTAAAAGTTTCTTTTGAACTCTTTTTCGAAAGAAATTTCAGCTACCTTGGAAACCGCATAAACACATCATATTTCATTTATTTAATGAGTTTAACTCCGATCGATAGCATTTATTAACCAAAGATTATGTAGTACTAGGTACAACGAATACGGCGGACGTGACATTATATTGTTGCCTTTTTCTCTCAAATAATTAATAACATTGGATGAATATGAAATCAATGACGATCGTTAAGCAATTTTATACATTTTGAACCTGATATCTCTGTTTGCTTCCATATTTCATTAACAAAAGGCTTTAGGTAATTTTCAATATAATATTTGTGACCTACAGTCGTGCCTTTATCTACACGGCTTGGCCAGCTAACGGTACACCAGAGTGCGGAAGTATGAAGCGTTAAATGAAGTGGTAAAACTAATCTTATGTGAAAGAGCACACTTTAAGGTGTAGGAAAATAATTTTCGTTTGTTTGTACTAGTACCTGAACACATGGAAAATATTCGGTGAACATTGAGATGAATCATCAATAACGTGGTACGTTTGATACCATATGTTTTTATTATTTTTTCTCGTTCTTCTTGACATTTCAGCTTAAGAAAAATACATTGCTCGATAGAGAAGAAGTTATTCTGTTTACTGATCGTATCAATTCTTGTTCTAGCTCTTACGTGCTTTTGAAAATTAATCAGGAAACTTGCCGATTTTTAATGAAATTCCGTAACGAAAAATCGGTATTTTAAAAATTGTTCAAACAAGCTAGGAGAATTCTGTAAGTCATTTAGCATATGAAGATTCTGTATTTCTAGAGCTACCTTTTCAACTAGTTTTTATTTGAAAAGTGATACGATATAGTTGCAAAAGGTAGCGTTACGGAATTTCACTTACGAGGGAAGTTTCCCAACTGTTCGTTTTCCGAACGAAAACTAGCATAAAAATAGAAGACGAAAACGGAAGAATAATAGGTTATCGACCATGCTGATTCCCAATGTGACCCATGGGATTTGCCCTTAGCCCTTCGAAGATCCGGTATTCTGGAAAACCAGTTCTTCAGAAACTCTAAAAAATAACCAAAATCTTTCTTAATGAGACACAACTGTAGCCCGTAAATTTCTGATTAAAATGAGACGTCTCCCAACTCTACATGACCTTTCTTTGCAAAGTTATAGAATTTACATGAAAAGACCTAAATTAATTTCTTCTTATTTCTGTAGCTTTGAGCTGACAATGAACATTTAGGTCTTTTCTTATAAATTCTATAACTATGCAAAGAAAGGTCATGTAGAGCTGGGAGATGCCTCATTTTAATCAGAAATTTAT